AATTAGCCTGTTGCATGTGCTAGTACTTCCTCAGGTAGGAGGCGAGGACTCATCATTTGGATATTATTTGATTAGCCGGAGTAATCTGAGTTGCTAAATCAGAAAGCGTATAGAAGGCAATTGCGTCAAGGTTTTAAAAGTGGCACTTATTAATTGAAAATAAATGTGATGTAAGTTCTTGATAGCATAGAATTCATGTGATTTTTTTTTTTAATGAGCTGGATGTACATGGAAATTCCTTGACTCTTTTGCCGTCTTTGTGTGTGTGTGTGTGTGTGTGTCTGTGTGTGTGCAAGCACTATCACATTCCAATGCAGGGAATGGGGTGTCAGATGAGAGGGATTGTCAGCACTGTATCGAAAAAGCAGAACCCTTCTTTCAACAGCTCTCCCTAGTTTGACAAAACTTTTGGAAAGAGATAAGAGAACCACCACAGTGTTTGCAGAACATTTATTACTATTAATCGGTGATGTGATAAGACAGTGTTCAAGTGGCTTGAAAGTTGTTCACAATCACAGCAAAGCTTACTCCAGCCTAGCATATACAGGGCAAAGTAGAAATCAGGGGGATGTGTTCAGGTATGTGTCAGTATGTATAAAAGTGAAGCCGAGCATTTATATAGCTTGAAAAAATAGAGGGCCAACTAATGCCATTTACTTCACTCAACTCTCACTTTGCTCTATGACAGGTATCTTAAATTTCCGTAAGACTTCCGATGACTAGGCAGTGATATGGAAGGAAAGGGAACTGCTGTCGAGTTTGTAGCACTTATAATTGGAAGGAAGCAATGGGGAAGCAAAAAAAAAAAAAAAAGGCTTTAACAAGCACTCCAGAAGTGCTTTAGATTCATGCTTTAGATTATGACTTTATGTAACACTTCGTGAAGTGAGAAACATACCTGGTAATTTACCATCCTACTTAGTTTGGGGCATTGAAAATAATTTAGTAGCTACATGATTATGACCACTAAAACTTCACCTCAGGAGTCGAATGTTCCTTGGCCTTAAAAATTATGTGCTCAAGATCAGGAAAGTCTTTGTTCCCTGTCCCACTTAATCAGAATACTTAATTTTATTGTAAAATAGCATCATTCTAAGTTAGTCCTCTAAAGCATCGATTCCCTTTGTTTAAATGTATGTTGTATCCAAATAAGGTTCTTTGGTACAAATTTGGCTGCTTAAATTTTCAATAAACTTTCTTTCGTTTGATACGTGATGTGTAGATTTCCTTTCTTCTTACATATACTGAGATACTACTCAAGTCTTTGGTTTCGTCAAACCAGGTTTCACAGATTTTAAGTTTCCTTTTTCAAGTATAATAGTAAATGTATTTTGCCAGATTGTTGGGCATACATGAATATAGACATCATTTTTATATATGCACATAATTATGAGACTGACTTTAAAACTTTAAAATGTCCAGAAGTGTTACTTTTTCTACATCTTTCTAATTTGTATTTAGGTCCCTTAATTTATCATTTGATTAACCAAAGTTCCCTTTAAAAAAAAATTGGGTAAGCCTGAATGAAGCAGCTTAGCAAAACAGTAATACTGACAAGACATCATCTTACACCATTAGCTAACATGGACATGAGAGGCAGTGACCATCTACAGTATGTGAAATGCCACAAGAAGTCATCAGCAAGGGAGGACAATTATGTCAGTCCAATTTCTTCAAGAACACTACGTGGGGTTTCAGCTTCCTGTGGAGGAAAAATGTGAGACTCTGGTAAGCAGATACAGGGAGAGTTTTAAGAAATGAAAAGCTCACATGAAGGGCATGCTCATTTCAGAGAATGAAGGAGGCAATTCTACTAGTGACAGCCAGTGGTTTTCAAAGATTGATGCCTAAAACATTGAAGAATGTTTTCAGCATTTACTAAATACCTAATTTCTGAGTTAGGCACCACTGCAATAACAAAAGGCAATCAAGCCCATTGTAAACTGCCTATCAATGTATGAAATTCTATACAGAAAATACTAAAATTGAAAATGTCTCGCAAATAAAAAGCCCCTCTTCACAATTTCTAGTGAGTCATCTAGAACTTTGACTAAGGTTTGCCTTGTCACACATTATCTAGAGAAATGTCTAGGTTTTCTTAACTGTCTACTGCAAATGGTTTAGAAACAGCCACCTTTCTAGCCTTCCCTTGGGCAACCACTGGCACTGGTGGAGGTGACATACACAAGAAACACTATGAAACAAAAAGCCTTTTCATCCTAGTGTAAGAATGAATATTTGTTTTTAAATGTCAAAGCCAAATCACCCAAATCTAAAAAAGGTATGTTAACATTTTCCAAACTGGCCAATTTTGTTTTGTTTTTTTTTTTTTTTTAATTTATTTATTATATATACAATACTATGTCTACATGTATGCCTTCAGGTCGGAAGAGGGCACCAGACCTCATTACAGATGGTTGTCAGCCACCGTGTGGTTGCCGGGAATTGAACTCAGGACGTTTGGAAGAGCAGGCAATGCCCTTAACCGCTGAGCCATCTCTCCAGCCCCCAAACTGGGCAATTTTGTACACTACAAAAATAAAAAGGGACCACATAGGTCAGTGATTAACTATTACTAGCAATTTTATAATTAAAAGGCAACATTGTTCCTTTAATAGATGAAAACAATGTAAGATTTTGTTAGCCAATAATAAACTTACTTTTGCATCCTAATCAGGAGACAGCACAAAACAAGGAAAAGGAAAAGCATATTACATCAGAGTTCTCAGAATGGTAGGTTGAATGGCAGGGAATGCACTACATAGTGTAATCCTAAATGACTTAAAATCTGTGGTTTCCATATTTGGAAAACAAAAATAGTACTTACCTTCATGTGTTGAGATTGCGTTTAAGGCTCAATGCCTGAGTTAAAGAAAGTGCTTCTAAGTATATTAGCCGATAGTTAGACAACTGAAATCTAAATGAAGGGATTTAGCATTTAGTACTAAATACTATAGCCAAAAAAGTTCATAGAATGCCTGTTAGTATGCTTGTCTAGTAATGAGATATGGGTGAAAATCAGCTTTAGTGAAAGGACATTTTTCTAAAAGGTAGTATAATCTATGAAGTAAACTTGCTCCTGCCTCCAACTGAACTTCAATGTGATCAGGTGACAGATCTAAGATGGAGGAGAAAAGAAAGAGGTAAACATTGCCACAAGAATGTAATCACCTAACTAGGAATGTGGGGAGGTGTATGGCATCAAAAAGTCCAGTTTTGGTTTTTGATGGCAAGGAGTACAAAAACAAAAATAATAGGCTTGCTAAAAATTGAGACAAAAGGCCTGTGAACCATCCAATATAAAATTTCTTTGGATCTAATTTAACAAATTATAAGAAGGCATTGATTCCCCTCCGATCATTAGGAAAAGCTGAGGCAGGCCCAAAACAAAATGAAGTACTTTCCATTTTGTTTGGTGTGGAACTGATCTGCTAGGAATACACACAAGCATTAGAGATGAAATGGACACAAGTGGGTATGAGGTTGATAAATGAGCGCTCTGTATGGGATTCTGGCTCGTCTGTTTTCATGATAGTTTCTTAAGGCAATGGAATAGTGATGCCAATGTCTTAGGCTTAAAAATGTTTGGCTTTAACAAATACATGGAGAGTGACATCTGAATTACTACACTTATTTCATACTGTAGGCTCAGAAATGGTTATAATGGTGAATTCTGATTTTTTTTAAAACTACAACTTGAAACATTACTTGGAAAAATGAAAATATAAAATGTTATTTTATCAAAAAGGATGGAGAAGAAAAAAGTCATTCACATTAGACAAAGTACATGTGAATTTAAAATTAAGTCATTTTAAAACTTCATGCAATCTTTAATATGTTAAAGGATCCCCACACTGAATTTTATAGAGTTTATATTCTCAGCCCATCTAGATAAAAATGGCCCATAACTATTCCCTGGGTAATCAGATTTCTCCAGGGTGCTCACTGCCTTTTGTCTGAAGAGAATAATGTTGCTTTCTGAATATGCATTATTTAAAATATGTCCTTTCTAAAAGACCTAATTTACACATTTTATTTTATTCCTTTAAGACTAGATAAGCTGAATGTTTGTATAAACTGTTAATAATACAAAATGTAATTTTTACAAGTTCCCACTGAAATTGTAGCTCAAAATTATTTAGGGAAATGATTAAAATAGAATGGTTGTTACCAGGGCCTTCCTTCAGTGAGAGAGAAATGGGAAGTGGTTGGCTGATGAGTTATGTAATTTCAGTTCTGCAAGATGAAAAAGTTCTGAAGATCTGTTTGTACAATATGAATATGCTTATCACTAGTGTAGGCTCAGAAATGGTTAAAATAATGAATTCTATGTTATTTTTTAAAAATCACAATTTTAAAATTACCTGGAAAAATGAAAATATAAAATGTTATTTTATCAAAAAGGATGGAGTAGAAAAAAGTCATTCACATCAGACAAAGTACATGCAATACTTTATTTTAGACATGCAGGTAAAGCTATTCAGAATCTGCTAATTTAAAGCAAGCAGCTGTATTACAGATACCCCACCCCCAAAAGCGCAACATTTTGTTACAGCTCAGCACACAGCATCCAAAACAAACAGGCATGAGACAATGCATATTTATGCAACATTAAAATCAGATGAACAACATGTAGGGTGGGAGGATGGGAAAAATGGAAATGAAAGACCAATGTTTTGTGATGTGATGCTTCAGATGGTAATGGAGATAGTTCATCTGTACAGCTGCCTAATAACTCCATTTCCTATAACGTTTTCACAGATCCTTTAGTGGGAAACTGGTTTGGGTAGTTTTTTTTGGCATATTTAATTTTTGTCTTTTGAGACAAGGACCCCCTAGGTAGATAGTAATTCATCTTCCTATTGCCTCAGCCTCCCAAATGCTAGGATGACAGGTATACACTACCATGCCTCTGAAGTTATTGTTTAATGATAATTTACTTAGGCTTTAAACTCTAAACAGTGAGTTACCTGGTAGTTTTTATAATAAAATATGCTAAGTGTTATTAAAAATTTTTAATATTTCAAAAATATACAACCATAGTTAACACAGCACTGAGTGTTTAAAAGGCTTAATATATTAATTAGGAAGCCATTAACTAATAAAATAAATATATTTGGATATTGAAAATGAATATAAGAATTTTTGTATCATATAAGTAGGCTCAGTGTTACTGCTTCAAAAGTGTTGTTACTGAGCAACAGACATTTCAGGAGATTGTGACACAGCTTTCCGATAGTTCTTAAGGGGACTGTTGGACACTGCATAAATGTGGTTCAACATATATTGGCACTACAAAATTTCTTGAAAATTCAATGTTTTAGCCTTAGGGCTTATATAATTGTAACTGATCTTTTCTTTCTTTTATTGCTTCAACATACACTTTCATGTGATGGTCAAACATATTAGCTCATACAAACGGTAAGATAATCTTAGTGTTAAATAAAGCTTGGTTTTCTTCAACAATGGACTAAATATTGTGGTGCTGCTAATTTTGCCTGAGTTCTTAACTGTATTTTCTTTGGTAAACATTTGTGATTGCCCAGCCTTTCTGTTATACTCTCGTAAGATTAATCACAGATGGTTTACTAATGAAAACGTTGTATGTGTTTAGGATATTAAAATATTCACAAGTCATATTTTGTCAAGAAGAAACAGTGGTAGACAGAAATAAACTACATATCAATATCATATACAGAATGAAAATGGAATTAGGAATGTATACAGAAAAAATACAATCACAAAGGTACTAGCTCTAAGATGCTTTTTATCTTTTTACAGGAGAATTAGTCACCAAGCTGAGGACATTTTCTTTCATAAGTTATCAGTTCTCTATTTCCTCTGAAATTCTGCATAGTCGGTGAGCAGTCATTTAGTACACAGGGACATTAAAATATTCATGGCGTGGCTACAAAAGAAATGCATATATTCTTATACACAGTATACAAGCTGATGGAGACACAATCATATTTTGAGATTGTTTAGTTCACAGTAAAGTTATCTAAAGCATCAATTTGCTTTTGCTCTTTGGTTTTTGGCTGAACATTTATGTTCTTAAAAAATGCCCAGTTCAGAATTACCTTTTTTCAAGTTCACACTATGTAACAGTAAACAAAATGACCTACATTCTACAGAATCCTAAAGCACTGTACTTACTACTAATCTGAAGAGATTGCCAGTGTAAGTCAATGCTAGTTAGTGGCAAGTTCAGTTAGAATACTCCCTTTTCACCTGTGTGTTACATTCATTAGGGTCCTATTACAATAAGGAGAGATCCCAGAGAAAAGCTCCCCCAAGAGCAAGTTAAAACTAGTCACTATATGGCATTTTTAAGTATCAAGGAAAGCTTTTAATTGTTGACTTAGCTAAAAAAAAAAATGTGACTTTGAGGCTACAGATTTTTAAGTCCTCAAAATTATTCTAAGGAATCTCCCAAATTTGTTAAATGTCTGTGCCTACAAATATGTCTAACAAAATATTAGGTGTTCTCATATCAAGAAGTGACAAATAACACAAGCTAGGGTCTTAAGTGCACTTTCCAGCATCCAGATTGATTTTAAAGTTGGAACTATAAAAGCTGCCCCTTTACCATTTAGAATAGTGTAATGATAAAACAAACAAGTAACGTAATATTAGTAATAAATGCCCAGTGCTTCATTTTCTTATAGAAGTTTTCATTCTCACAGGGAAAGTCTAATTCTGTACTAACATCATTGATGATTTACTGTATTTAAAAACACTTTGTCCAACTCTCAGCAGTAAATCAGTAATCCCAATTATGGGTTATTATAGGGAAAATTTTCCTACAAAGCATCAATTTAATGAAATAATAGGGGCTATCCATTGGAATTTAAATGCAATTAACTTTCCAAATAATGCCAAAATACAAATAATAAGCTTGACAAAATTATAATTAAAACTGAGTTCATATAGCCTACTACATTTGGATGCATGTCTGTACTCCAGCTCGTATTCTAGTACGCTTTCTTACACACAATCAAACTCTTGCTGTGATACATAGTCTCTGTGTTCTGGAGAGAGAACAAGAAAAGTTTAAGTCTCAAATAACCTTATATTTCAATACCAGTTCTTTGCTTTTATGTTACAGTTTTTTAAACTTTCTGATTTCTCAACTTTAATATCATATGAAAAGCAACCAATGAAAAGGTTTATGCACATTGAAGGAGAAGGGTGGTTTTCCAACAGGGCTGAATATATTAAATAATAAAATAAAATTTAATAAAATAGTTTAATAAAATAAAAACTATGATAAAATAGTCATTCCTTCCTAGAGAAAACTTACAAGAACAAAAATTCTATATAAGCAATTTTGATATATGGCCACCTCAGGCATTGTCGTCACTTTTTAAGTAACAAGTTTTTGGTTGTTTTTTTAAATTACCCTTTGGAAAGCAAAATGGTTGATAATAAGTCAAACTAATCTTTAAAGCCAAAGGTTCATATTACTGTTCTTATACAAGAAATTAGTACCCATCAATTGTCAATAATACTCTTAATAGGAAGAAACCCCTCTTCATTGGAAAAGCAGCAAAAAATAGCCTTTAAAATGTGCAAAAATAAGTGAAGGTATATTATATACAGTAAATCTTTTAGGTGCTTTAGGATATAGGAGATGTCCAGTTCAGACTGAACATCTGAAGAAGTTCTGCTATAGATAGTGACTGCTATAGCCTTAATGACTACTTAACATTTAAAGCTGGGCTTTAAAGTCAAAGATTTAACTATGTCTGTATCGACATTTTTTCTCTTCATATGCAAAAGATATATAGTAAATTCAACATAAACTTAAGTATTCTGAACCTTCATACTACCAGTACATTTTTTGAGTAAAAAGAAAAAATGTAAGAACTAGGGAGGTAATGGTAAGAGCTTATCACAGCATACAAGAGACCCGCACAGCTAGGTCTACTATTTTGTTCTTCCTTTGGAAACATATATGTGTGTGTGTGTGTGTGTGTATATATATATATAATATCCCATCAAACTGAACTTATGAATATACTAAAATTTTGGTGATTTAAATTAAGTAGCAATAAAGGCTAGAATAGTACTGAGAAAAATGTAATCTTGTTGCATTACATAAGCATAAACCACTAATTTTCCTTAGTGCAGATTCTTTGCCAAGATCAATTTTTCTGAATAAGAATTAGAAATGCATTATTTTCAACCTGAAATGGGCCATCACTTTTGGGCAACCCCTTTGTTCAGTACTAATTTTTCTTTATTGAATCTGTTGCCAAGTCCCATACTTTGCTTGTTATCCCCTCTTCTCCCCAGTCCCCAATAGTCCTCCTGCAGATGATAGTTTTTAAGCCCAAGAAAATAAGAACTTTCTCAATTTTGCTCACTTAGCTCATGAGGAAAATAGATCTCCAGCTTTACTCCATGAGTACCTTATAACAAAGGGAATGTTTTGTTGCCTAAAACCAGGGCTTCAGACTCTGCCCCTACCCCCCTTTCAATCTAGCATACTTTCCCCTATATTCCTAATGGCCGTCACTCTTTGCATGAGCTCCTTCCCAATACATATGCTTTTTCAACTTTCCTCTGCACTGAGAATAATTTCATTCTCAAACTATAAGAAAGATTAGATGTAGTGTGGCATGATAAGATGTCAAACATAGCAGACAAGAATCAATTTCGATCTGTTTTCAAAACCATCTGTCTTTAAAAAAAAAGACAAACCTTACTACCATGAAATTTCCTAGTTATTCACCATGCTAAGCTTATGACAGGGATCATCCGTAAAACTAACAAGAGAGTTTAAAGACTCTTAAACTAGCAATTGCATCGGCTTAACTACTGTTGAACTGAGAGATGCTTAAGTAAGCTAATGGTGTTAGATATTCAGGATTGAACGGCTAACCGTGGCACTGACTGTACCATGGGGAACAACCATCTGAGCTTTGGATTCACTGGCACCTAGAAGATTATTCAGCAGAATCTCAGAGGAAATGGTTTCTATTTAGTGAAAAGCAAATATAAGGAAGTGTGATTTCAAGTTTATCACCTTACTGCAATGCTTAAAGGAGTTTCTGCTCATACTTCTTGTGTTATAAAATAGTTTATATCTCATGTTTTATAACACGATGCTCCTAACTGAATTCTGTGGCAAAGCATGCAAACTTCTTATGCTCAACATTTTATTTAAGTCTGTCTATTCTTTGAGTTAGAAGCTCCAAAGGGCCACACAATAGAGTAAATTCATTAAGACCTATTTTGAACAATAAATTTTAAAAATAGAACTGAGAACAGTTCATAAGGCACCTTTTAGATGATAGGGCTCATGATGTACTCCTGCTTTATGAACATCTGTAAATTAATAAGAACCTCTACTGATTTTCTTTGGAATTATATTTCTAATTATTTCTATTATTTTAATTATATGTAGGCATGTGTCTCTGCATGTAAGTATGTACATGAGTGCAAGTGCCCGCAGAGGCCAGAGATGTCAGATTACCCTGGAGCTGGAGTTACATACATTACATACTGATGTGTGTATTGGGGACTGAACCCAGGCCTCTGGATGAATAGCAAGTGCTCTTAAGCATCGAGTCAGCTCTCCAGGCCCCTACTGATTTTTTCTAACATTAAGTTACTAATGAGTAGCAAGAGCTTTATAGCTGCTCCAGATGGTTAGTGTATAAAATGGACAAAAGCTCAAAGTGTTTTACTCTGTCTGCTGAACCTTTATTTTAGCAAATTCTGCTCAGGTTTTTACCATCTGTGATATCACAATGTGAGCCCTCATTCAACAGCAGCATTCTTCTACCAAAAAATTCATAATACTAACTACATGCTCATTTTTCTCTTTAGAACAATGGAGTGAGGAGCTTTATAGAGTCAATATCCTGCTCCTTGATCATTTGTCATTTCATGTGTCTTGAGTATCTTTCCATATCATTACACAGAAACTTAGTCTTATTTATTTTACAATTATGTTAGCAACTGCAGGTACGATTGCACTGTAATTTTCTTCACTAATGGACATTTGGGTAAATTCCAATGGCTAAATATTATGCTGAGCCTATGTCTTGGTGCATATACATATGTATACATATACATTTCTCAGTTGGATACAATTCTTAGATGTGCAACTAATGTGACAAAAAGTATAGTACACATTTGATCATAAAATAGACACCACAAAACCATTCCATACTATTAAAAAGATGTAACAGTTTATAAATGAAAATGAAATTTTAGTTCAAGGTGTTAAATTAAGTCAGGGTTTCTTAACTTGAAAACAACTGTTACAATAAAAAATTTTTAAAGGGCTAGTTGGTATTTTAATTTGTATTCCCTTAGTAAAGACTTTTTGTTTTTTCATCCTTGACTTAGTCAGATCCTCTGCTCTTTCCTCCTAGTCTACTCATCTATTTCTATTATTTTTGCCTTAAAAATAAGTGGAATAACTTTTATTTTATCTTAAAAATGCTACTCTAACCTACTTCATGTTCTGGCTTTGGGGGAGCCTAGCCAGTTTGGATGTCCACCTTCCTAGACCAAGATGGAGCGGGGAGGACTTTGGACTTTCCACAGGGCAGGGAACCCTGACTGCCCCTCAGACTGGAGAGGGAGGGGGAGAGGAGTGGGGGGGAGGGGGAGAGGAGAGGGAGGAGGGGGGAAAAGGGAGACGGGGAGAGAAATGGGAGGCGGGGAGGAGGCGGAAATCTTTTTTTTTTCAATAAAAAAATTATATTTAAAAAAAAATAAAAGAACAGAACACATTACCTAATAGTTTTCATTAAAAAAAAAGTCTCAAAGGGTAATATTTGTAAAAAATAAAATAAAAAAATGCTACTCTAAAAGCTGTTAATTATAAGATACGAAGGACAAATTACTTTCTCTGGCATCTAATTATACTTTTAAAATAAAACAACAGAAAAATTAGCTTAGACTAAAATATTTTAAGTTTATTCTAGTATAGATGTATTTGCCTCCAAATACCCTAAATTTAATCAGTTTTCTAAACATATGATTTCTTAGAATCAGAATTGCAAACTGTTCAAGACTAACAGTGTGAGGCAGAACAAAAAGTTTGTAACAAAAGGAAGTCTGTATATGTAAATTCTGGCCACTTTATTCTTCCTTTAAAAAATGATCACATCTAAAAGTGGATGAGGAAATCGGCAGAAAATTCAATAGTGTTCTGCCTGCCTGCAGGGTAGATTCAATCTTGTTTCCACATAAAAACCCAATTACCTTAATAGAAGTGAACAGATCTAGTTGTTGTTGAGGAAATTAGATTATTCAGTGACATCCCATAAGCTTTTCTGTGGGCCAGGTTCTAAAGGCACCCGTAGAGTATCTCTCCAGTTGCTAGTTACCAGGCAAAGGTAGTTTATATGAATCACAAAGACGGTTTTTTAAATAGCCATTTATGTTTTCTTTAACATACGTTCTTTTCACATTTTAAAGTTTTTTTCTACTCCTTTCTAGTTCTGATTAATTTTCAACCATTATTTATATTGAATACTACATATACTATTAAAAAGATGTAACAGCTTATAAATGAAAATGAAATTTTAGTTCAAGGTGTTAAATTAAGTCAGGGTTTCTTAACTTGAATACAATTGACTTTCAGGGCTGGATAGTTCTTTGGTGGGTATGTCCTGGACAGAATAAGGTATTTAGCAGTGTCCTTGGTCTTTACCTAGTAGATGCCAGTCACAATGCACTTCAACAACCAGGAATTTGTCTGGGCATGCATAGCCCAAAGTACCCTGAATATGCATGACTGCCCCATCTCATTCCTAGGAGAGTTTACCAAATTGGCTCTACTTGGTGGATAAGATTATATTCTAGTGTGTTGGCCTGTATTTACTAATTTTTCTTCTATGGGGATTAATTTTTAAGCACAGTGGTAACAAAACAAATTATAATGTCAGTATAACATCAAACCTAAAATTTTCATCAAGTACTGTTTAAAAACTGACCATTTGGAATATGCTCTTAGCAGGTCCTAAACCTGGGATCATGAAATCAATTATTAAGATTAGCACTTAAAAAAAAACATAGAATAGAAAAACTGAGAGAACAAAGCCAGAAATGGGAATATTATTCAATAATTTTTGTTTTGTACTTGGTATGCCCTATAATATAAAATTGCATTTACTACTATGGGCTCTAGTGAAAAAATCATTTCAAGATCAAATTTACAATAATTTGATATTTAAATTATTTTGGCTTTTAATGACTAGAAAAAGCCAAGTGGCGCTAAGAATACAGGTCTGTGATAGAGGGCTTGCCTAGCACAAGTGCTACCCTGAGTTCTATCCCCAGGCACTGTAAAAACAAACAAGAAACAAAGAGCTCAGAGTAGCCAGAGCTGTTCACTATGAGTTAGAAAAGAAATAACAAGGGGGGGGGGGGTGTTCCAAAGAACAAACAAAGGAAAACACTGACTAAAACTATATAGAATAAAAATGATTACAATCTGAAAAGCAGACGCCAATGACACTAGTCATATTGCATGGCACTAAAAGTAAGGCTAGAGATTTATTATGTCTTGTGTATCTGCCTGCTTCTAGATTGTCTATTTTAAGCATCAATAAAACCTCATTTTTCCAGAATCTGTTCTAGCAGACCTACATTTAAATCCTCTTGCAGTAATAACTATAGCCTTAACTTTTAACCCAATTAAAGAAAAAGTTTAGGCTCAAGAGTTATAACATGAATGAATGGTAATTAGAAAATAATTACAGGGGTTTTGTCTTCTTAAAGCAAATCAGAAAAATATTTATAACAAAATGTGTTTTGCTGTTAAATGATATTGTATATATTTGAAAAAAAATCTATGCTTTTAAAACAATTAAAATATCTGTGAATCTCACTAACATGCCTAAATATTCTTAATTAGGAAGGTTTAATTTTTTGAAAAACTTAAATCTTCATGTTATAAAATACTTCAAGAAATACTTATTTGCCTAATGTTATTATAAAAACCTCATTTCTTTAAAGAAATCAGTTTTCTCTCAAAATTCTTACCTTTCCATTTTTATGCAGTCCCACAGATTGATTACTTTCACAAAGACATAGCAGACTATTAAGATATTTCATGCAGGCCTCAGCACTAAAACAAATCAATTTTAGCAGGAGTAATTCTCCATAGACTAGTGCTTTCTAGACGAGTCAGACAAACTCTGGAAATCTAGTGAATCTGTTCATAAAGTGGACCATCTTCAAGTAGAAGCAAATTCATGAGTATAGTGCTTGCTTTTGGCACCTCGCTTCTTTTCCATTTTATGGATTACTTTAGTGAGAAACAATACCAACAGCAAACAAAGCTCAAAAGAAAAAAAAATCCCCACAAATTTTAAAATGATGCTGTTAGTATAAGAAAAAAAGGTCAACACATCTCAAAGCGCTGATCAACACCATCATGCATCTACCTTTAGGGTTATAACAAGCCCAACGCCTAATATTTAATTATTTGATCTTCACAGATCAAGCAAGGACTTGAAATCATCTCACGTGCAACAGTCTCTGCATAGTGCCATTTTATCCATGCCACAAAAATGGTAATAGTTACCAATAAATAAGTTGGGGGTCAAAGGAACTAAAGTCTTAGACTGCTCTTTATCATAAGATATCCTCAGACAAACCTCCCCATTCTTCATTCTGGCTCTACAAAATTAAGGAGCAGAGAAAAACTGGTAAGTGCTGACTTCACAGGGGAATTGTCAATATATGTGGTTATAAAATAAGTTCAGCTGCATCATTATAACTCACCTTAGCACACAAAAACTAGCTATGTGGGGAGGGAAATATAACTTTATTAATCTCAGCATGTCATAGCTTAATTTAAAAATCAACTTTAGTACCAGTGGCATTTTGATATGACATGTTTTAAATTCTAACAGTCAAATATTAAAAATTGGATAATGGGCCAATTTCTGGGCTTTCCCTCCCAAAGCTAATAATAAATTCATGCAACCAAAAGAACTAAACACAGAATTGGTCCACAAATGTCAAATATGAAAAATATACTATTAAACTACAATGTTTATTAATATTTTTACAGTTATTATTCAGATATACATTTATTTTGTTTTTTATTACTGATTGCAGCATAACAGACGAAAATCTACTTTAAACACTGACATCTACCCTGCTTGCCCATAAAATGCAAGACTACCTAAATTTCATATTTATATAAATTGGGCAAAAGCAAAGTTTTAACAAATTTTCTGAATAGAATTAAGAATAGGAATATATATTTCACAAATTTTATAAAAATATATAAAATCAAAATTATTCTAACTTGTATAGACTATTAAGCCAACATATAAAGTTCACTGTTAATTCAAAATTATATTTAGTGCTTTAAATACTCCAAATAAAGATTTGACACTAAATAGAAAAGTTATAATACATGAAAAATTACATTTAGATTAGGTTTCTAGTACTTTTACTGCAAATTTTAGGATACATTTAGCTAAACTAGCTATACTTGAACAATTTTAGAAACAAAATCACCTGAGGACACTGATGAAGTGACTACTATATTTCAAATTATAAGATCTAGAAAGTTATTATAGACCTAGGTATTTTAACAAATCTTAACAAGGAGACTTCTGAGAAAATACTGTCTATAAGTCTACATATTCAATAAAGGGTTCAACTGATAATGACAATAGTGAATATCCTCAGGCCTAGAGGTAATAAATAGCACACACTGCTATAATAATGCTTTGTACCCCCTTCATAGGGTAAAATACACACTATGCCATTGTTGTCTTATAAAGCATAGAGCAATTTCCAAGTAGCACTTAGAAAGTAACTCAGGAACAAGAAGATATCAGTGCCCTAAGCATTACTCTCTAGGAACACATTAAAAGCAAAACTTGAGCTTTAATGGCTTTAAAAATGTCTTAAAAACAACAACAAAGAATTAACTAGAAAATGGTGAAAAACAGAAGAAATACTAAGTTCTAACACAAGAGATTAGAATTCTATAATAATTAAACATTATTAAGACAAGACTTAAATATGAATAATTTCTAATTCCTAATCCTGGGGCCTATCTTTTGGTTAGTTTTATTTTTCATGTTTTGGCAGGGCCTCAGGTTGATCAGGCTTCCTTCAGAACTTACTTTGTACCCCAGACCTTGAACTCCTGATTTTTCGGTCTCCACAAGTGCTAAAATCACAGGCACATATTATCATATCTGGTTTATGCTGAGTAGAGGATTGAATTTAGGGCTTCATGCAAGCTAAGCAAACACTCTTCCAACTGAGCTACATTACATCCCCAGTTTGACCTAATTGCCTTTTTTGATACTGTTTTTTTCTCCTAACTTTGATTAGTAAACAACAAAAAAGAGATGCTAACTTTAAAACCAATATTATAACAGTAGAATGTACTCTTGGAGTCAGCATACCTGATGTTAAAATTACAAACCTCCAAAATGACATGTTTGCAATTAATTAATAAGCCACCATGGCAAACTGTGCTCATTTGACTAACAAACAGCAGATAGCATGAGGGGCTGTCACCGAAATACTGCAGTTTTCCACTCACCAACCATTTTTCTGATAACTACAACACCATTAAACACACAGTTCACTGTCTCACGTTTAAGAGCTGTAGACTCTAAATGATATCAACACAACTTGACGCAGGCTCTCCAGCTGACTGACTGATAGAGGATTCACTAGGTGTTCCCTCCACCACAGAGACCAAAAGTAAAGAAATTTTAACAGAGAACAAGTTATTCTCCTCCCCTTAGTCATTCCTTTAAAGCTAGCCATTTCAGAAATGCTAGAAAAAAATTTAAAGTCTGTTTTACTAATTAAAGCCATAATAGGTATGTAATAAAAGGTTAAAATAAACTAAGAATACAAATCTACTTTCGACACTTTAGTAAATGAACCCATGGGACACAAATATTCATTTATGTTGTGTGTGTGCATACACACACAAGGTTATATATATATACATATACACACATATATGTATATATATATACCGTAATGAAAATACCTATTTTTTTCTCTACTAACCCATTTTCATGCTAAACTTTCTATATTGTAACAACCACAATTAGTTCTAACCCATAATTTAATTTGGTACCTAAGCATCAAGCACATGAATTAGCTCAGGATGTTGAAGGCAATTAGAAGAGAAAGGGGGTTGCTATATTCTGGGATATGGAAGTTAAGATAGGAATACAATAGTTTTGACAGAACATGGTTAGTTATTTCAAAAGAACAAAGAGAAGTACAAATTTATCTTAAGTTAATTTTGTTAACACAAAGCCAGAGGGTTCTATAAAAAGCATAATTAGAAAACACTAACATTTGCTTGGCTACATTTGCACTTAATGGACATGAAATGAAAACATGAACCAATTTGGAAAGGAAATGCCATAATCTCACAGTCAACTCCTAATTATCCACACTAATGAAAAAGGTGGGGGATTTTAAGTAATTCAAAACAAAGGATGAGGAGTTCTCCAATGTTGTTATTTTTGGCCAATTTTCTCCCTTTTAATATATACATTTATTTTCTATTTATTCATTTACTTATTTTAATTCAAGTAGTCTGTTGTCTAAATCAGCCTGACTTGCAGGCCATCTCTACAGAGAACCATCCATCCACAGATAACTGAGTTGATGTGACCGACACATATTCCAGTCAAACTGTACATGAACACTACATACCAAGCATGCTTTGAAGTAATTTCTGAAACTTGTAGGAATGATGACTGAGATTTCCCTAGCAAAAGCAAAACATGCTAGTTTTCTTTTCAGGAGCCTAAGTAGCTTACCTCCTGCAGGAGATCAGCCTGTTCAATTGCTTTAAGGACATTTTTCTTGGACGTTTCCTGAACTTCTCCTCCCAAAAGAAATTCATCCAAAATGAAATACGCCTTCTCAAAATTAAAGATGATATCAAGTTCACACACCTGAAAAGCAAAAGCAAAATGAGACAAAACAAAGCCTGTTAAAACTTAAGCTAAAGATGCTTATTCACTACTAGGTAATGAATAAAATCTGATCAGATTGAACTGATCTTAATTCTTTTCAAAATGGAAATCTTGCTGATTAAGCACCATTGATTTAAATAAGCTTTAATTTTCAAATCTCAAGTACTTGACAACACAATGCCTACAAGTTAAATCTGGCTCTGCACACGCCCTATGTAGTCAACCCAATAATTTTCCACTCATAGAAACCAATCTTTAAGTACATATTTCTTGAGTAATGTGATTAAGCTGCTAATGATTCTGAAAGCTATACTTCACACTTCCAGCATGCAAATGTCAGCAATAGGACTTTTCTATTTCACTAGTGTTTGTGTGTGTGTGTGTGTTTGGTGTACAAGTGTGCAAATGGGTGTTGTTTTTTGGGAGTCAGGGTCTCTCACTGGGACCTAGGCCTCACAGACTAGGCAAGGCTGGCTGTTCTGTGAGCTCCAGAGATCTACCTGTCTCCATCCTCCTGGAAATAAAAGTCAAAGTTAGGGACTGAAGAGATGGCTCAGCAGTTAAACGCACTGTCTCCTCTCTTCCAGAATGTCAAGGTCCAATTCCCAGCACCTATATTATAACTCACAAGCACCTGTATCTCTACTTCAAGGGGATTTGATACTTTCTTTTGGCCTCCGTGGACACCAAGAGTGCAAGTGATACATAGACGGGCATGTAGGCAAAACACCCATACACAATATTTAAAAAGCAGCAGCAGTAGGAGCCAGCATTGGCTTTTTATGTGTGCATACTAGGGTTAAATTCAGGTTCTCATGCTTGTGTGGTAAGCATTTCACCAACTAAGCTATCTATTCAGCCCCTCAATTTTACTATTTTAAAACTTATTCTCACTATTATAATTAAACGAGTAGATCTGCAGGGCCAGAGATTCTGAAAGTTGACTAGATGTATTGACAAGAAATAAGAGTCAGTGCACGGTGGCGGTGGCACACACCTTTAATCCTAGCACTCAAGAGGCAGAGGCAGGTTCATCCTTATGATTTCAAGGCCAGCTTGGTCTACAGACTGAGTTCTAAGATACCCAAGACTACACAGTGAAACCCTGTCTTGAAAAACCAACTAATCAACTGTAGCACGATTAATAAAAGCCCAGAAGGTAAAAACCCTGAAGGTCAGAAAAGCAAAGCATCCAGCCACTGGCTCTTACCTCTGCCTCAGTCTGAAATGGTGATACTGCTTCCAGGAATCTCAGAATGAGACTGTGTCTGAGAGCTGTCTCCTCCCATCTTATATTCCTTTCTAGGGCTGGCATGCACCACTATCGCCTGGTTTCTATGGCAAACTAGTGTGGCTACTGGGATGAAAGGTGTGTGTCACCACTGCCTGGTCTGTAAGGCTAACCAGTGGGGTTGTTTTACTCTCTGATCTTCAGGCAAGCTTTATTTATTATTTATTAAAATACAAATGAAATATCCAACCAACTATAACCAACCAACCAACCAAATAAATAAATAAATAAATAAATAAATAAATAAATAAATAGCCAGTCCTGCCTCTCCTCACAGTTAGAATCCCCAAATAATAAGCTTATCAGAGACAAGATAAAAACTAATCTACTACTACTCACGCTGCCAAAATACTTGTCAAGTAATTCCACGTAACGATGGATAATTTCCAGGGTAATCAGTTCATTGTCCTGATCCTCAATAGCACAGCAAAAATATAAACTGGCATATCTGTAATGAAATGGAATCACAGAAAAAATGTTACCCCTATAATCATGTTTTCTAAATATATTTTCAATGTCCTGTTGTACTAGTCCTCATTCTTATTATAATTACATTTATTCTTCTTTTAAAATAAATTTGTTTTCTCCTGGATTACAAAAGTAATAAATGTACAAGAGAAATTTTGGAAAACACAAGCAAAAAGAAAAGAGAAAAAGGAATAACTCAATCATGTCTCTTAGAAGGAGTAATTGATCTTGCTCTTCTTCTCAGGTTGCTTTCTGAGCATTTAAAAATATAATTGAGCCAGTTTTTCTTTAGTTTACTTAATTAGAACTAAATACACAGTGTGATTGATTCAAACTACAAGCAAATGGCGAGAAAACAAGCTGTCAATATATCCCAACTGACGGGCTTATTGAAGATATTGTCATTGTTTTAGAATATGTCATTGAAGAATAATGTATACACAGAAATCTCAAATCTGCAAGCCTGTGGTCTTTCAGAGTAGACATTTCAATGTGTTCCCTCATCCCCAGTTTAAAAAAAAAAAAACAGGAAAGACAAAACAGGGCACCATCTCTAACTTGAGCAAAGAACTTCCTCTTGTTCCCATCATAGCCTTGATTTGTTTATGTATTTCAAAAGCAAGACTTTTCCAACTCTCCACCCTCCCTAATCCATGCTCTTCAACAGCATCTCCAGAGTGGCACAAATGATACAGGACAATGGTTCTTAACCTTCCTAATGCTGCGGCCCTTTAATACAGTTCCTCTTGTTGTGGTGACCCCTCCAACGTAAAATTATTTTCATTGCTACTTCATAACTGTAACTTTGCTGCTGTTGTTAATTGTAATGTAAATATTTTTGGAGGTAGAGTGTTGCCAAAGGGGTTGTGACCCACACGTTGAGAAACACTGATATAGGAAATTCTCTGAATTATGAAAACTAAAGATGAAAGGAACATATTTAAAAATGACAGACCAAAAGACAGATACAAGTTATTTCTATGAACTGAACAGAATAACAAATAATCCTATTACAGAGATAATTAATAGTAAATGTGAAGTAACATTCTTTATTGCAAACGTCTCCCATGCTACTGTTAGGCATCCAGTATGTATCTCCTTCCTTTTTTTTTTATCCACAATACCGCCTCTTTGTTTACAAGTAAGCAATATTTAAATACCAACTAAATAGTTAAAGGTCTTAAAGTAAACTAACCATGAATTTAAAAATGAGCAGGACTGATATATCTAGATACCAATCAAAAATACTTTGTTTGTTTCTTGAGACAGGGTTTCTCAGGAGCTATGGAGCCAGTCCTGGAACTAGCTCTGTAGACCAAGCTGGCCTCGAACTCACAGAGATTCACCTTCCTCTGCCTCCTAAGTGCTGGGATAAAAGGCGTGCGCCACCACCGCCTGGCCAAAATTACTTTTAAAAGAAAAAAAAATTGAACTCCTCCAATAGTATTTCATTTGAGTTTTTTCTTTTTCATTCTAGAAATCAAATCCAGTATCTCTTATATCATTCACTGGCAGCTTCAGTCCTCTAAATGTTTACTTCACTAAGAATGAGAAAAAGGCATCAACTTCAAGAACTACTTCTTCCAGGTGAATAGACAACTATTAGCATGATAAGAACACCTCGTCAGAAAGCTGGGGAAGTACAATAGCAGGTACCACAGAGAGAGAGAGTCACTATCCGTGAGGTGCTAAATGCTAGTGAAGGCTTTTGCATATTTTACCATCTTAATCTCATAACATTCCTACCAAGATATCATTATTACTTGCACTTAGAGGAGAACCAGGCTTGAGTAACTGGATGAGAACAGAAATTTGATCCTGGAGCCCAAATTTTCAATTAAAAACCACAGCTGTGAAGTGTATTAAAATAATCCTGCACCTGGCTAAAATTAAAATATGCTCAATATTAAGAACTTTGAGAAAGGGAAAGAGATAAAAAAAATGCCATACAGATTTAGTAAAAGATTACTAAGAAAACCTGAAGAGTACTCCCTATTTTTAGGACCAAATGGTGCTTTAAAATTCAATATGAGCTCATGTTGTTCTCTTAGTAAAATTAATAATAGACTAGTAAGAAGAGAGGTATGTTTAGTTATTTTTAGCACCATGGATTAGGGCTTACTCTAATTACTGGCACTCAGAACATCTGAAAGTGCCTATTCTTATATTCAAAACACATGACTTCTCTGCAGTCAGCTAAATATCAGCTGACTGTGCATGAATGTAGCTAAACTATTCTCAATACCCACTGGTATGTCGTTAAAATTTCTTTTGTTAGTAAAGAAAATCAATAAGTACCCTTCAACAAATTCTCAAGCTGGTAACATGGGGATGCATTTTAAAATTAATTTTAAAAGGCCTAAATTCAATTGCCTCTACTATAAAATGTTGCACCAACTAAGCATATAATGTTCTGTCTCTAGTGGATATTCGGGAGCATTTATTTTAAAGATGAGGAAACAAAGGCAAAAAAAATCAAAATATTCAAAGTCACAAAACTAGGTAATGGCACATGGGAACATATTGTAAGTCTTCAGATTTTTCAGCTTGTCTTCTCAATGACATTACCCTTGTACCCCCACCACTTCCTCCCACAAAGGGAAAATATGTATGCCAAATGTTCAGGGACAAATAAACAAAGACGATATAGAAACACATGCTAAGAGAAACATTGAAAGTGCTAGAGCAGAATTTATTAGGAACTCAGTAGAAGTTCTATGCCTTAAAAGGTCTTATCTCTTCCAGCCGGAGCAGAGAAAACACATCACCTGATAATAACAAAATACATGGTTAAGTTTGAAGTAGATGATGTTTTCAGTATGAAACAGGAGGGGCCTACAGAAAAACATTTTACATTTTGTATATGAACATCCCAATAAAATTATTTTTTCTTTTTGTTAAATCCAAATTTTATTTGAAAAAAAAATCCCTTTGATTTAAATATCAGATCAGGTTGGAGTTCTCTTTTGTAATTTCTGAAGAAGGTGGGGGATCTGCAGGAAGAGGCTGAGTGGCAAGTGCATGAGCTCCAACCTTATGTTTCCTTTCCTCTGAATGGCCCGCCCATTCATGGGCTCTGTTCTCTTGCTAGGATTTTCTTCCTCCACACGGGGGACTCCTTTCACTATCTAGAAATAAGCTTAAACTTCTCGCACCTTTTATAAACCCTATCCAGGATTCCAGAATCCAGGTCTATGGGCAGTTATCACCTCTTCTGTCTTTGGCAAAGCTCTCCCAAATATTCTATCCATGCAGTTTCAATTTCTCTACCTTTCCACCTTCACCTCATTACATTAAAAATCCTGTCTCTACTTCACTGACAATGTTCTGGCAACAGGCAATGCATGAAATGCTCACTAGAAGATTCTAAAAAGCTCTTCACTTTTACTGTACTTCACGCAACAGCCGGCATGAGTGTTCTTACTCTCAAATCTCTCTGCTCCTGACTACTGACCTAATACCACTCCTTTGCTTCTCATTTCGATCTGTGGGCCCCCTCTTTAGCCCTTCCACCTGCACCAGAATGCTGGTGATTTAATATATAAAGTCTAATTTTCACCCTCAAGTTTCATGGCTATGCCTACCACATCCCATCAGAGAGCCAAGTGAACAAATGTGGCCATATCAACTTGCCCCCAAATTAACTAAATTCTCTAGCTTACCTTTCTTCCCATAAGCCAAACTCTAGAAGCGGAGGTGATACCACTCCCTCTTTCTTTGGCTGCTCTTGGCTCTCTGCTTATTGGGGTGACCAAATTTTCTCAAACTTCCTTAGGTAACAGGTCTCCCTTCCAGCCTCTCAGCTCAGGATCCAATAATCATGTAGTTCTCTACTGATCCTGCAGGTGCCAGTCTCAGCCCCTTTCACTCCCCAAGCCAGGGTTTCACTGCAATTTTCTGAGAAATGCAAATCTAACCGTATGTCTTTCCACACCTGTTTAAAACCATTGCCGCCACACTTAAACCTTAAGTTGTAGCCCCATGTCCATCATTAGTGTGTGACCTATTTCCAAATTCTCATCTTTTATAAACTGAAATTTGAACAGTAACCATGTTTTGTAAATCGAAGACCCATCTCTAGTGCAGACAGCAGAGGCCAATTGAGCCAGGGTACAGGGTTCTTATTTCTGATCCGCAATTGGATTTCTACTTGTTTTAGAAAAGATTCTGTCCCTGGGATATATATATATATATATTGTGTGTGTAGATTGTTCTAAGGCATTTCCCAGTTCTCAAATGCTGTGATTTTTCTATGATCTCTCTCAACAAGTACCAATCTAAACATTGAATAAAAAATCCACCCAAACTGGTGAAATTCACTATGAAATAAAGATAAGCCTAAAGTACTTAAGATGATTTTTCTATCCTATAAATCTAATTTCTTCCCCTGGCACCTCCTCCACCACAAAAGCCATTCATACTTGGAATGTAGTGACAGAAAACAGAAGAAAACATGATTTCTCTTCACCTTCATGGCATTCCATACTGTTCTCTGCACACACCATCAAGACAGTGTTTTATATGCAGAAATGCTTTTATTTTAAATGCAGGAAATGGGGAAGAAATAAATGTTCCCTCAAAAAACATTCTGTAAAATAAAGATGAATGCCAAATATCAATTGTTTGATAAATAAATCTTTATGGATTTGTTGGGAGAAAGGATCATCATACTATTGTCTATGCATGCCTGAATTTATCAAATTACTTAAAAATTTAAAATGCTAACCCTATTAACCCTGTAATGAAATGAATCCATTGACTATTTTCTAAAACGATGACCAAGCATGCATAATTATTTGTCTTTAATTATATAATTAATTTAAAATTGATTCCCCTGCTGCTAGCACTTCAGTCTAAGGCAAGCAATCAAAACAGCCATTTTGGAAAGTTTTCTTTTCAACTTATTTCATTTAAATATCTGTTAATCCTTGTTTATCAACAGAAAAGTCTGAAATGTCCTCATCTGAAAGAATGCTAGCATTTGATTTCCCCTTTCTGATGAATTTTACAAAATGATACCTTTTATAAACAATCTTCAGATCTCGCCACTCCAGGAAGCTGCACATCTTAGGTTTCCGAGCTAAAACGGTTTGAACAAGTTCTCTTGTGATCTTCTTCTTCTCTTTGTCTGAGAGTGGGACATACCATTTCTGCAGCCGTAGCTTTCCCTGACGACTAAAAAGCAACATAAACTGCATCTGTTAAGATAAATAAAATCAAGATTACATACAATTACCTAGGATAAACTGTTAAGAGCACTTGGCTTGCAGAGCTGCTTTGGGGATAGAGTTAAACACCCTGCCAAATGATTAGTCAGCCATCAACATTTCTACGCAGGTTAAAACAACAGAAAATTCTTTTGGAAAGGTCTTCTTACAATGACATGTAGGTAAGTGTGGAAGAGAGTGTGTGGCAATAAGAATAGGTGGTAAGCGCGAGTGAAATTTTTGAACAAGAACTCTGATAATTTAAGAAACAATTTTCTCCCCTGTTACACATTCCACACTCTCCGTGCATCAAAGACAACTGTAGACACCAGGTAGTTGCTTTAGGGACATTTCTAGGAAAGAGAAGACCTACTGTTTTTCACCCTGAGGCCATCGTAGTTTCAGGCTGAATTTCTTGCAGACAGACTACTCATCAGTGAAAGCACTCCCCTCAATTTATACTAGCATATTTTAAGCAAAACAGAATGCTAATCACAAACAACACGTTTTTCTTAACAAAAGCCTGATTTTTATGTTTGCATTTCACTTTTATAAAATCCATCTATCACAAATAAGCACTCAAGAACTGAGTTAATGTACGTGAAAGAGAATACAAGGCTGAAAAACCTTGACCAAAAGTTACTCATATTGAGACAGGGCATAGAATACTTAAATTAAAAAAAAATAAAGAAAACAAAATTTTGAGACATTTCACAGAATTCTAATTTTAAAACAAAAAAAGAACACATTTGAATGTATGCTGGATTCTAGTGTGTTTTTATATTGAAGCTAATTTGTATGGATTTACTTAGCATTTGCATGACTGTTGGTCTGGCTAGTTTTCTAAAGCAGGTATTTTATAATTCAACGGATAAAAGCAAGCTGTATTGTAAAGCTAATTTGAAGGTAAAATCCAGGTGGGTTTCTCTTTTAACCCTTTTAAGTTCCTTTAACAGCGACAGTGCAAGTGAGACCCCAAGGCAGGTTCTTAATATTCACTACACCACCTTAAATTTGAACATCGGGAAGAGGAATTTACGTAACTAATATAAAATCAAACTGGCTCTAAATTTCAACAGGAAATTCATCTCGCAATATCCCAAAAAGGCATCAAGAAAACATCCGGAAATTTATGGCGTAGCCATTTAACTTTAGTAAAGTTAAAAGTGGCTATTACCCACACACAACACGCTATATAATTCATTGCTAGCCAAGTGCCGCCCATATAAGTTCTGAAGACAGCGGCATTCGAAGAGGACAAGTAACGCATCAACTGGACATTCAACGCAAACCGTTACTAGAACTTGGGGAAGGAAACGACTGGGTTTTCTTAAATCTTGGTGACCAGGAGAGGGTTTGCTAACGACAGGAGTGTGCTCCAGGCTATCTGTAGCAGGGTCCAGTATCCGCCCTACCACTTTGTAGGACGAAGAAACCACGCATTTTCTTTCAAACAAATGATGTGCTAACATAGGGCGAAAGCCCTGGCACAAGTATTCCTTTTCCCTCGCTTTGATTTTGCCGCAAATCTCGGGACAAAAATTTCTTCAGATTAGTATTAAAACAAAAACAAAACAAAAAGCAACAATGGGCTCAGCCTTGGAATAGGCTCCGGTCCAGCGTCCCTGGGGTCCCGCAGTCTTGGACGCCTCCCCTCCTCCCGGGACCACACTCCATCACTGCCCAAAGCCTGGAGAGGTGACCGGCAAGGAGCGGAGCAGAGACAATGGCATCCGCTGGCCCGCCAGGGGCGCCAAGTCCTCGGTCGCTGCCACCCCCGGCCCCTCCCCAAAATGCCCCGCCAAACTTGAGGCGATCGGCGAACCACAGGTGCCTCGGGGTCCCCGCGGAACCCAGGACCAGCCCCAACATCACTAGCGCGCCGCAGAGTGAAGAGCGGGGCGCCACCACCGCCAGAAGTGAGTTTTGGGGCGCGGCGCCCCGGGAAGACTCGGGGTGGGGTCGTCGGGGCGCTCACGGGGCGGCGGGGGGCGCGCCCGACCATCTCTCCCTCTTCCCATCCCTGCCACCTCAGCGGATCCCCTCGACACTTACGGCAGCCGCGGGCCGCGGACGCGCCGGAGCTTGGCCGGCTGCGGAGACCGAGGCAGCGGCGGCTGCTGAGGGGAAGCCCCCGTCTCCGAGCTGTTGTAGGGACGCCGTGGTGCCGCCGGTAGGGGACCCGTCTTGTGGAGGGCAGGCTCAGGCTGCGAGGGTAGGGCGAGCCAACAGTCCCCGCCCCGGAGGCTGGACGGAGGAGGAGCCCGGGCTGCGGCGAGCGGAGAGGCGGGCCGGAGGACGAGCGCCAAGTTGCCGAGGGGGCGCCAACCGCCTCTAGTATCCTAGCAGTAGCCGGCGAGAGCGAGAAAGCCGATTGGTCAAATGGCCGCGGGGAGGCGTGGCGAGGGCCGGAAGTCTGGCCACGTGACCCGGAAGCGGCCTCGGCGGGGGGGGGGGGCGCCTGCGTATTTCTCCCCGTGCCGCCGGGACACAGCCCGCGCGGCTGTCCTGGCTCCTTTAGTGGCGGGAGGATGGGGTTCCGCGGCGCCCTTAGCTGACCCCGTGGTGCAGGCTAAGGATGGTCCGCACTGCAAAGAGCTGACTTCGAGCTCCAGTGACTCTCCGGGTCCCCAGAGGGTTGGGCGGGGAGGTGTGACAGTCGGTGCTGATGGTGGGAGGAAGGATGGGAGGGCTGCAACTCTGGGGAAAACAAGTCAGCGCTTTCGTGGTGCCCGCGTTTGCAGGGAGGCCCCTCCTTTCCTATGCACTGCTCCAGCCCTAGCTAGCCCAGACACTTCTCGCCCCAAGCTTTGCAAGAGCCACTCTGCGGGGCTTGCTTCACCCAGCAGTGCGGCGGACTGGAGGAGTTGCGGTCCGCTCTCTGCTGCAAAAGCCCAGACGGCGCTTAGTCCTCCAGATCCCGCTTCTCACGGTCTCGCCCCCCACCTCACCCCCGACCGGGTTCCAGTTTAGCCTTGCTGACGACTCGCTCTTCTTGGCATGTCCTTCCTCTAATGTCACATCTCTGAAGCCTCACCCTAAAGCCCCGGAACAACGAATCCCTCTTTTACCCACATGCTTCTGCTTAGCGCATCTTGGATTTTATTCGTTTAAGAACCTAGTTCCCTGCCTGGTCTTTAACACTACTGATAAATGTGAGTTGCCTAATCAAATTATGAAATGATGATAGACTTGTTAAAAGCTGAAATGTTGAATTAGTTCTGGGCATATAATGGATGTCCATGTTTTATTTGAATGATAGAATGGATGAATCACCTAGTTCAACTCATCTTTTATAGATAGGGGGAGTAGAGACCCATAGGATTAGGTGACCTTGCTTGGACAGCCATGGATTTCCTATGTCAAATACTCTTCAGTACTTCAGTCACCTCTATTCCTACAAAGGAAGCCAAAAGAGCATTTGTTGGGCCATGCCTTCCTTTGCAGAGGTTACTAAACATGAATTTTAAATTAACCAATGTAAGAAAAAGATGCTACGTTTTAAACAAAGTTGTATTTACTCAAAAAAAATCCCCTATTAGAGATTAATGTTCATGTTTATGCCTTACAGTGCCAATGTAATATATATGATAGGAATTTGAGGTCATTTTATGATGCTTTTCTTTAGCAAAATAACACTAGAATACCTTCCCCTTTCAGCAATAATATGCTGCTTGGAAAGGTTCCTACTGATGTGTGTGTGATTGATATATACTGGAATAGGAAAGTCGTTAACAGAAAGTGGAATTGGCTTTTGGTAGGTCTTTAGGCCCCCTGCCCAAATTTCTCTTGTTTCCTGTCCAAACATGCCCCTGAAATGCCAGTGTCTTTTTTTCTCCCTTAATACAGGAAACAGATGTCATTAGCCAGTTTAAAGATAGCACTAATACTACACAATGAAAACCTACCCTCTGTTTCAAGACACTGCCTTTTCTTTTTGTATACAGAACACCTATGTCCTCAAGGTTTCTGAGCTAGCCAGTTCCCAAGTCTAATCTCATTGGATATGTTACTAATGTTGGTTTGTACCTCTGGAAATGATGGGAGACTTGCTAATGACATATTGGCAGTCTCATTTCTGTGTTTCTAGCCAAAAAAGGAAAAAAAAGAAAAAAGGTGGGGAGGGCTGGGGGTAGATAAGGAATTATGGGAAAATAATTAGCAGCTGAAAGCAGCTATTACATAATCTTGGCTGCTTATTAATTTAGCAGAAGGAATGGCTTATTAAATTCTAATAGCAATAGCAAAACTGCAAACAACCTACAATTAACAGAGCAGGGCCCATTATTTTGTTAATATGTTCTCTTCCTTTGGCAAGTATATGAGAACAAAATTTATAGAAGCAGATGGTCTTTTTCAGTAGATTATAGATGGTTTATTCCCCAGCCTTAGTACTAAGTGCTAATCGTGCATTCACTGTGAAAGACAAAAAGAAACACGGCTGCCATCTTTGTTAGTAATTAGCTAGCTTGACTTTGATTTCCACATTTCTCAAATTGTAGGCTTTGTTGTATACATGTTTCTTCTGACCTAATATCGGTTTCATCTGCTATGCCAATGCATTATCGTTTTTATTCTTTTGTCTTTGTTTTCAGAATGATTCTGCTTTATGTTAATAATACAAAATTATGTGTGAAAAATTAATAACCAGAATTTGTATGTGTTTGTTAAATTTTTTAAACAGTGCCTTGCTGTCATGTATGCTAGCTACAAGATGTGAGGGTAAAAGAGAGATTCTATTTTTTAGCGATAAAATTTGGATACTATATTATCTAAAGCTTTAAAAAATAATTTTAGTTTCCTGTTAAATTTGCCATAGATGCACATTCTTATGCTTGCTCCATATTAAAATATGACTAAATGAAAAGGGAAAAAGGACAATGTTTAAAATATGCCCACATACAGCTATATAGATGGTTGATTGGTTAAGAACACTAGCTGCTATTGTAGAAGACCCAAGTTCAGTTCCCAGCATCCACATGACAGTTCATAACTGTAACTTCAGTTCCCAGGGGTCTGACACTCTCTTCTGGTCTCTCTGGACACCAGGCACAAAGGGGTGTACAGATATGCACATAGGCAAAGCATATATAATATATATGATAAAAGTTACATTAAAAAATAGCTAAAACATGCCCACATGGATAATGAGATGGAACATTAAGGATGGTGAGAAGGTCAATAAGGAAATTAAGGTTCAATATCATCTAAATACTGACGATTTAAATAAAAAGTCGACACACTGAAAATATGAAGTATTCAAGCAGAAGTAAGGAGAGGTCACAGTAATGCTGAAGTAAACGACATCTGAAAGAAACCCAGAAGCTGAATTATTAGCTTCTTTCTTCCATTCTAGGAAGCAGATTCCGGAATCAATGGCGAATTTCCATGGCTAGAATCTTGAGGTAGATTGTAACCAGAGGGATTAATATATTTTATTTCAATTTTTAAATGACTTAAGTATTATCATGGAGTAGCTAAAAGCCATTCCGTTAGTGGTGCACTCTCTAGTAGAGTCTTCTCTAGAGATCCTGTAGTCAGCTTTTTTGATTACTTGTACACAGTAGTATAACTCAGTATTAAGTCAGTATATAAGTTATGTGCAGAAATGATGCTTAGAGTTTATACATTTGTACATCTCATGATAAAGTTGTCCCAAAGAGAAAATGGACCTAAAACAATGAGGATTTGTGAAGTGGATCTTTTCCAAATAGCTCTGCCATTCCAGAGTCCTCACCAGTGATCTAGAGGAAAATGTAGAACCTATGTTCTTTCCGTAGCTTTGAACAAAATTATTAAGCTACTCTCACACCGGACAGTTTTACTCATCAGGGCTCCGGTGGCAGTGTCTGGAATATCTGTCACAGCTGGGAGTCCTTGATGCTTTAGGCATCCAGTGGACAAACGGAGAATGGGAGGTGCGGCTTAACTCCCTACAGCATCTATGTTCGCCCCACAACAAAGAAGGTTCCAGCTCCAAATGTCAGTGCTACTAGGGGAACAAAACCTGTCTTAGTCACGGCAAATGCTAACATGCGGTAGCAGATCTTTTAGAGACATTTCCAGAGATGGAACAGCACAGCCTTCATAGAAAGCTTTTTTCGGAGTCTCTCAGAGGGACTGGAGGTATTAGTCTTAATCGTGGATAGATAAAATCGTGACGTGAAGAAAAGGCTGGCCATATACTTAAGGCACTCAGTATCTTTTAATGAAACTTTAACTAGAATAAAAGATCAAAATGTGATTTCAAACAACGGACCCCATTCCAGAACAGTAGTCAACAGCACCTGAATCCATGGGATGACTACGCATTCATTCATCATAAATGTTCATTATGTATCTCTGACCCAAACAGAATTGTGACAGTTTCTTTTCCCTCGCTCACTCCTTCTTTCCTTCCCTCATCTCTGTCTTCTCATTTTATTCAAAGCCTCACATTTGTCTCTGAACTCACTGCCCCAGCCTGGTCTGGAAGCTTCAACAGTCCTCCTGCCCCATGCTCCCTACTGCTGGCATTATAGTAGTGAACCTCTGCGTTCATCATTTGTAGACAAAGCCTGGATGACCAAAGAAGCAGTCATGAATCACATGTATGACTACAGGTTTTTTAAGGAAGCTGCTAGACAGACATGCTTCATTAGAACTTTACATCTTTATGGCTGACATTTTTGGAAGTGATGCCCTTGTGATGTCGTAGGATTCTTTTTTTTTTAAGGGTGGGGGGAATTCAACCCGAAGATCAGAAAAACAAAGCAGTCAAGCCCTAGAGAGCTCTTACCTCTGTGAAATCTTCAGATGGAAAAAGAGAGCACCTTATATTCCTCTCTACTGCTGAGATTAAAGGCAAGCACCACCACCACCCAGCCTCTATGGCTAACTAGTGTGACTGCTGGGATTAAAGGTGTGTACCACCACTGCCTGGCCTGTATGGCTGACTGGTGTGGCTGCTTTGCGTTCTGATCCTCAGGCAAGTCTCAGGACTCTTAAGAGCAGCAATCTTTTCATTTTGTGAATTTCCTACATCAATCTTAATTCACAGCAATATGAGAAAAGAGGAAGAAGGTTTATGTTTTGTTTGTTTTCTGGGAAGATGACTCAGTAAATCCAGAACTTTCTGTACAAAGATGAGGACCTCAGTTTGAATTCCCAGAACCCATGTAAAGTCTTGAAGTGGTAGCATGTATCTGTCATTTCAGTGCTGGGGGGGGAACGGGGGTGA